TTGTTGCACGAAATGCTTTTGTCCCTAAAAGTTTAGCAATATCATTCATAAACATCATGAACAATACAACATCATTGACCTATGTTTTCTCTCTGCTACTCTATTTCGCTCATGTGTGTGTACATGGTATTTGTTTTTTTAGTCCATTATTCTCTAGATATGTTCTAATTTTGTGGGATGAAAGTTCTCCCCTCCATCACCACGTAAGTAGATAGGTGATTGGAAGTGTTTTCCAATAAAGATTTTTGAATTTTATTAGAATTTGATACACTTCAAATTTGTTCTTAACAAAGAATATCCAGATAACATAAAATAACAGCCAGACGAAGAAGAATATGGAGCGGGACAGCAAACATCGTAATGAATTAATTGAAAGGGAGCAGAAGTTATTTTATTATGAAGCATAATAGAAGTTTTACATGCTTACGCAACTGACATCCATGGCATACAAACGAAGATAGAATATCAAGATTAGAGGGAATTAAGCTCTCTTTACATAACAAAGACACAAAACTACAATGACCTAAATGATGATGCCAAACGTTGGCATTTTTATTGACACTAAGAGAAGAAAAGAACAATGAGCGTTTCTTTTTAACTTGAACCTCGAAAATATATAGCTGTCCTCGACGCACACATTATCCCAGATTGTTGTTCCTTCAGAAAAACAAAATCACTTGTGGGGGGAGGAAGCTTTATACTCATGAAATATAATTTTCCCCGACAAACTGAGAAACTGAAAGAAGATTTTGTCACATTTTATGAGCAAAGAAACATTGGATACCTGTGACACTTCTTGTACGAGTGAGACATTAAGGGAGGTTCCATCAACAATTACAGTAGAGCCATTGCCTTAGTAAGGAATTAAGGATGAGAACATACCACTATCACTTGAAATATGATTTACAGTACCACTATCCACAACCCAACCTGTATTTGTAGGTGACGTGATAGCTAAGTTCCCTAAAAAATGATTTAGGGAAGGAACTTGACTTTCATCTGGTTGGGTTTTATAATGATAAAAGCACTTGGTTGTATGATTCTTCCTTCCACATATCTGACAAACAAGACCACCATATGAAGTGACAGATGATCCTATTGAAGGAGTAAGTAGCAAGCCTGGATAAGATAGAAATTAGTTCTTCCACCTCGCCGCTCCATGTCCTCTTCCTTTTTATCCTCTACCTCTTCTACCATGATTTGAACTTAAGCCTGTATTAACAGTTGAATTACTATTTGACAATGAAACAAGATTAGAATCTGTAGTAGAAGACTTGTCCAAGTGAGTGTGTTGAATAATGCTACGTGTTGTGACAATAATGGCCACAATTCTCTAAACGAGGGAAATAGAGTCTTCATCATCGCAAAGGAAACAAATACTCTATAATCACCCTCGAAACCTCTCAAAACATAATGGACCTTGTACCTTTCACTTAGAGGATATCTTGTTATAGAATTCTGAGGCCGATGAGTTATTTTGTTTACAAGCATGAAGCTCACTTCGAATATGTAGTATTGAGGTTCTGCTTCATGTGAAAGTAAGTCATGAAGGGCCTCTCATAATGCTGTGGCAGTTGGTAAATTAATTACTTGAGGAATACTTTCCTCTGAAAGAGTGGTCCAACTGTTGAGGTTCTGGTCCTTAGATACCCAATCGTCATAAGCAGGGTTGGATTGAGAAACTCTCTTAGTTGTTCCATCTTCACTAATATCTTCCATTATAGTGTTGAATTTGTTGGCTCTGCCTTTTGTGATAATCTGTATTTGTGTGAGATAGACACGTTTACATTGAGGTAATATGGTGATTTTCTCGTTGTTTATGTAGTTGGAAGCAATGGAATAATTTTAGGCTGTAAGGTCTTCTTAGTCCCAAGTTCTCGTTCTCATACCCTAGAGTTTTAAAAATGAACGGAGAGCTTGATCGATCTTCTAAAAGACCCTGTGTCATGTCTTAGAAGCGTTCCCTATGCTGTTTTCCTTGTCTATTTTATTTTAGAGAATTAGGCTTTTATTTTTTTACTACCAAGCAGTACATGTTATGTGAATGATCATGTGCCAATGCTTCAATTTTTTTACCATATAAATCACAAGAGAACTGGAGAATAGTTCACTGCCTGCTGATGTATGCGGTTGTGCCTCAAACTAATTATTTAGTTTGCTATGTGCACTACATGGTGCACCACTCTATTATGTTTCGTTGGTTGACCTTTTGGTGTACGAGTAAACTTCTATTAGGGTTTCATTGGACTGATTTGGATGAGGGTGTCATGCATGGAGCTGTCATGATTTGGATGAGGGTGTGTCATGCATGGATGACGGTGTCATGCATGGAGGTGGAATTTGATTTGCTGCCTATTAGTTTTGTCTTAGACTTGATATTTTTGTTTTATTCTCTCTAGAGTTACAAACTTAGCCCCCAGTTTGGATGGTTTTGGGGCTGCTGTTTTGCAGGAGTTTGTCATATGAAATGGGAGACATTGTGGGCCATTTTGGAGGGACTCTTGTTCTTTTATCATGGGAACAAGGGGGTTCAGCTATGGTCTACTAAAGACTCTTGATGGTCATTCAGGTATAAAAAATGATTAGTCTGGATGGTGCCTGTTGAAAGTTGTGTTTAGGGTGTCGGCTGGAAGAATGCACATGTTATTGTCGTTATTGTACCATTTTATGTAATGATTCGTCAAGGGCCTTTGACTTTTACAAGTCTTTGAGGCACTTTCTTCCTTGGAATCTATCTATGTGTTTGGGGTGGGTGGCGATATGTATAATTGACCTATAGTAGCTTACTACCCTTTTGGTTGCGACTTATTTCATTAACATGTTCTGGTGTACGTTTTGGTTTCTGATGAATTTAGTGGATTGGTTCTTGTATTTCGAGAAACCAGCTTTTCTTGTAATGGTATTTGGCACTCCAGAGATTCCTTCATATGCTCTATTCGTCAAGTGGTTTGAGCAAGGGATCCTGTTCTGGCATTTCTATTTAGGATCATGGCAGAATTCTCAAGTCATTGTGGAAGCTTGGCCTCAAGAGGTTACCAAGGTATACCTACATGGTATGAGGAATGGTTCATAGTTCTCATTTGTGGATAACACGGCAATGTTTTCTTATGAGAACAGCATGTTGATCCAGTTTGGCTTTTAGGTTATTTTTATGCTTCTAGAATTCTACGGTTTTAAGGGTAACTAGAAGCCAAAAATTGACTTTCACTGGGAAGACCCTGCCTTCCTTGGTTTGCTCCTATGCATGGTTTGCACTGGAAAGAATTGATTATAGATAGGTGGGAGTCAAATACTTTATTTATGAGCGAGGAATTTATTTTGATTGAAGCAAATTTAGACATGTTTATCATTGTAATCTATCACCATCACTATCACCACCATTATCATCATTTTATTGGAGCCCATTTTGTGAATGATTGCTAGCACGTTTTGTGAAAATTTCATATATTTCCATGGTATTTATTGGTTGAGATTCTTATGGTCCTAAGGAGGCAAACCTACCTTAAATACTCATTCTGTGTTTGCTGGGATTTGGGGATTTTTAAGGGCAAGCATTCTAGAGCAAAACAGTAGGTGATTGAGTTAGAGACATGGTTATTTCATGGATACTAATCAGAAAGGAAATCTAAGGCTTTCCGGCATTGGATTTGGTTAGAGGATGTAAGGTAGTGGTGAATTGTTGGGTGCTGGAGCTTTTGATTCATGTCTCATGGAAGAAGCCTTTAGTTCGGGTTCTCAAGCATAATTGTGATGGAAGGAAGCTTTGGGCTACCCTGGCCCCTGGAGTTTATAAGGAGAGATTAGAGACATTAGGGAGAGACTTAGGTTGCCTTTGCAGGGCCAATGGGCACTGGAGATGCTAATAGAGCTAAGACCTTAGCACTTCTCATGGGGTTCGTTATATTTTCCAGTCCTTTGGTCCTTTTCTGGTTGAAGGTTACTCCTTAAATGTGATTCACTGTGTGTGAAGGGATGGTGGAAACCCCCCCACCCCATGGAGACTAGCTGACACTTTGGAGGAGGTATATGATAACGTGCCAAAGTCAGCAAGTTATCTACCAGCATGTTCAAAATTAGCTAATGACATTGCTGACTTATTAGCTCACACAGGCAGTCGTAGAATGGAATTTTTCTTGTTGCACTCCCCCCCCCGCTGATGTTTTGCTCTCTCTTCCTTATGCTTACTGATTATGGCTCAGTTTGTGTTCTAAATTTGAAACAACTTGATGTAACAGTTTCACCTCTAAAAGATTAAAAAGAAAAAGAAAAGAAAATTGACTTTATGCTTTCCTTGGTGAACGGTGATTTCTGCAAATTTTCGAATTGAGATGAGTTGGTTGATGGAGAAGAAAATGGCTACTTGGATTTTATTGTAGTTAATTTGAATTGGGGTTTGTCATCTAAGGTTTACAGCTTTACATAGGTGGATGTTGTGGATGCTGATGTAAATTTATTAAGTACTTATGTCCTGGAAACTACCATGCTTTCTAAAATTTCACTTGTCAGTAACAGTTGTACAAGAAAATGAATAGTGATAGTGCTTCTGCTAATTTATTTTTCTGACACGATCTGATTCTCATTTAGAACCTTGGTAAATTGCATTTTGGAGGATTTTCAATTTTCCCTTTAGAGGCAAACCTAGAAAAGAACTCATTTACATTGTTATTATTCACTAGATATACCTATTGTGTAAAGTCTTGCTTTCTTTATGCTATAATGATATGACTTTTATGGTGATCTTTTGGCTTGCTTGAGTCTGCGGCTGAGATTTTATTGCCTTTCATCTAGTGACTGGTGTGCTATTACTTCTCATTCAGAAAATGTACTCTAAAGCAGTTATTGATAAGATTTGCTACTGAATGAGACACCATTTTGAATATCAATACTAGTGGTCTGTATTTATCTTTTGATCTTCATCTAGTATATAATGTCTGCACTTTGGCTCTTAACGTTTGAATGTGTACTGTTTGTACTTGAATCTCCTTGTTCCCATTGGACAGGTGATGTTTTCTCTGGAGTAGGTCCAATAGCCATAGCTGCAGCAAGAGTTGTAAAGCGTGTATATGCTAATGACTTGAATCCTTCTGCAGTGGACTATCTTAAGGGGAATACTATTCTTAACAAACTTGAGAGAAAAGTTGAGGTATGTGTTCAATGTGATTCCATGCACCATTTCACATTCAATGTTTTGGACCAGTAATCTTGTTGCGCTATAGTTTTCAAGCTTGTAGAGCTTGTTATCATTCATATAGAGGCATCCTGTTCTCTAAAAATGTTTGACTTTCAACAGCATTCTTTTGGTCTGACTTTCTAGAACATTTCATCAATTTATTCAGTGTTGGTTATTTTACTAGATGTAATAAATAAAAATATGAGATGTGAAGGGTACTTCTGGACCGCTATAGTTCATTTCTTCTTTGTGTAACTGAACTATGGTAATAGAAAAATCATATCCAGAGATGCTTATAAGAGCTCTGTTCACATGGCTTACTGACGTTTAGTCATACAGACAAGTGTTAAAGCAATTTTGAAGGTGAGAGTTTTTTTAAGCCTTATCTTGTTATGTGAATGACATGTGGGAATGTTACAGCACTGAAAATTTTTAAATTCATCTGTTTTTTTTTTTTGTGGGGGGAAGGGGGGCGGTAATTTAGTGGGGGAAGGAGTCCCCAACTCATACTAGGAACAGAATTCAAGACATCACGTTGTGGTACCATACCACTCTGACCACCTAGCCTTGAGCCCATTCTTGAATTCATTTGTTTATAGTATCCACATATCCATTCATCTAATGTAAATGGCAATAGATCCCTTTCTGAAATTGATGCAGCTGTGTATGGCAAACTTCCCAAAAAAAAAAAGAGGAAAGAAAAATAATTCAAATTAAAGGAGCTGTAAAACCTAACTTCAATTAATGTTATTTTTTATTATCACGATTATGTCTAAATTTTGTAATATAAGCTCCTAAAGAGTTTAAAGGATATCACGAATAAGCATGTAGACCCCCTTTTCTCTTTTGAGCTTTCTAGCATTTTGAGTTGCTTTTGATTGTTTGAGTCATCTGAGTTGCAAGGCATGTCAACACTGCCTAGCCAAGCACATTTTGGGCCATGCATAGGCATAGCATGTCATATGCATGATTCATCTTGGGCCAGACTTTGATTAACTGAGACTCAGAACTTTGACACAAGCATTGCTAGCTGTCACAAGTGCTGTAGTTTTACATCTGTGGTTTTCACTGAATTTTGTTGGGACTGTTACTTTGGGTATTTATCTTTAGATGGCATTGTCATTTTTAAAATGTTCTTAGATGGAATTGCGTCATTGCTTAGGATTTCCTTTGTAATAACAGGACCACATTGGTCCTGTTTTTATCTAATAGATGTTTAATGTTTCTTGAGGATGCATTAAGGATTTCATCCATGACACGTCTAGGTTTGCAACATGGATGGACGGAGGTTCATCAATGCCATGTTGTCAAGTAGAAGGCTGGAACCCATCACCCAAGTGGTTATGAATTTGCCCAAAGATGCTGTGGAGTATCTAGGTTTGTTTAATCTGATCTTTTGCTTGCTTCTTAGGCTGTACTATATAAGGACCTTGTTCTTTTGGTGGGCAAACTTTATTCATATCTGCTAATTGAATCTTGCACCTTGTAAGTGATGAAAGCTAGTAGTTATATGCTGATAATCTTAGCTTTTAAGTTTATGCCTAACCCATGGATAATCCCAAGCTGCACTTTTTTGTGTATTGTTTCTCATACTAGTAAAATGAAAACATGCTCCTGTCTAATTTCTTTAAATGTGCCTGTGTTTTTAGAGCACAAAAGTGATAATTCCTTTGTTCCTGAGACCCAGTTTATGTTTATGCTAGATGCATTTCGAGGATTGTTCCGAAACAAACCTAATTCTAAGGATTATCCCTTGCCAAGGATTCATGTTTACGGATTCTCCAAAGCTCAAGATCCTGAGTTTGACTTTCATCAGGTATATATGTTCTTAAAGTTAGTATTTTTGTTATTTATTTACCTATCGGTATGCTGGGATTCATACATTTGATATTAATTTCAAGTTTCTTTGGTCTTGCACTAATATGGGAGACCTGATCCTTGAATTCTAGTAAGGATCCTTGAATTCTAGTAAGGTATTTTCATGAGTAAATTCCTCAATTGTTTTAAACAGTGATGCTCTATTTTTCTCATTTGCATTAGTAAAATAATTTGTTCATAAACTATACAATGAATAAATCGCTATATTCTTATGCAGAAAATAAGAATTGCACTTAGTGAGGTGGGAGTAGAAGTGGAAATGCATCGTGTCCGCCTTGTTGCACCTGGGAAGTGGATGCTGTGCGGATCATTTGTCCTCCCAAAGAGCGTTGCCTTCTCGGAATCAAGTGTTGGATTGTATTAGTTTTATTTAAAGGAAAAAGCTTATATGCGAGAAACCCGAATGGTAACTCCCCATCACCACCATCCAACTTGTTGGAGATTGGGAAAGGACGGTGGTGATGGGGAGTTGCCGTGCGGACTGCCCGCACGCTAACCGCATTCTTATTTAAATTAGTTGTATATCAATTTTGCTAATGGTTGTTGTTAGTACAATGGTCCTAAAAAAAAAACATCTCGATCTCTAATTAGGTTTGGGTTTATGTGGATGGGAAAGTTTATGATCCATATGATCACATAGAGAATGGTTGTCTAAGCAATAGATGAGTGGTGATGGATAGAGTGTGGGACCTGCTACGCTACCTAGAATATGCTATGTTCCCGTAGGTCTCACATTGTCACCATCGCCACCCGTTTCATTTTACGGTTTAACCCTAGCCTTTGGTTTTCTAAATGCATTTGTTCTTTTCATTTGTAGCCATAGTTGAAATGCAAGAAAATGACCAAAGAAAAATGAAATAAATGATAAAACACAGCCTTTCTTAGTCGAAGCCAGGCCAGTGGACCTGGCACGCGGAGTCGGAGTCTGAATGTACTATAATGATGAATGTCAATCCCTGCTTCTGAGATACAAAAAACTCGTCCAGTTTAGAGGCATGAGATGGAGTCAAGATACCAATATATCTATGTTATTTACGTTACATAGATAACATAATTGGGGTCGGTTAACTTGAATTATGGTCTTTCATTCTGTTATATTAAAGGCTATATTCTACATACAAGTCTTTATATTTTTTCACATCATTTTCAACTGCATCTTTTTGGGCCTATTTTTTGTTTTTTAAAGGTTTTTCCACTTGAATTAATTCGCATCACTTATCAGGTAGTGTATTTAGTCGGTGCCACACATGGTTAGCCCATTTAACTATACTCTCTTTCATTTTGTCGTCTTCACGTCTAAATTCTTTCAATTAGATTCATTTTGAATTCTATCATTTCTTGTACGAGTGTTAAAAAAAATAAAAGTAAATAAAATAATATATATATATATAGATGGCAATGATTTCATGCACCTGTTGTATAATAATATGATGCAACAATCTTAAAAAACCATCTTATGGCTAATTGTTTGATCCAAACTTTGAAATATACACTTTTTTCATTCTAATGAATAATCACAAAAAAAAAAAATTGAAATCACAATTTAGAAAGTATTTTTTTAGCACGATTAACATATACCGTTCATTTTGGTGGGATGCTTAGATTTAAGATTTATAAAGATTTTTTTCATTTCCAATTTATTTGGATGGTTTTATTATCATTAGATGAACAATATTAAAAAAGAAAAAAACGATTTTGAGTTTATAAAGGCTAAGATCTTGAAATTCACAAAATGAATGGTTTAGATTCGTTTTTGGAGATGATTCATTTTGACCATATCAAGGGTTCAATTTTTTTTTTTTTGCATTGATTATTGAGATGAAGAGAGTATGTGTGTAAAATTTTGGGTCATACAAATATCACAAACATGGTTTTATAGAAGTATCATTGCATTATACTATGATAACCGTTGCATTGCATTGTTGCATTGCATTAGATCATTGTTCATATATATATATATATTAAAATTAAAAAATGATTTGATAGGGCTGCATCCCTATCAAAATAAGTAAAGCCACACCTTATAACTCATCGAAAATTGCGGTTCAAATATTGGAAAATCTTTACATCGATCATCTTGGCTTGAATATTATGGTTGTGAAAAAAATTAGGATTTCAAGTTTTAAAAGTAGTGTATATTGTAACAACTTATCTCCGTTATTTTGCTCTAAAAATAAATGTTCATAAATTCCCAAGATTTGTATCATTTTTTTAGTTTCAAATTTCATTGCCGGTATTGGAAATTGATTTTAGAGCTATCATGAAAATTTTCATTGCAAAAAGTGCTTTTGAAACAAAGATTTTAGGTGGGGTTTTATTTTGTTTTCATAACGCCTAGCCCTTATAGAAACTTCATCCATTAAAATTTGTATAGTTTATATCTGCATTTATGTACACTATAATTGATGTCATACAACAATAATAAAGCATCTAAAAATAAAAAATAACGAATTTGAAAATACAAAAAAAACTTATTCTGTAAATTTGAATTGTACTTATCAAAATTTCTTATAGATCAATCCAAATTGTATCATAACAATATGAAAAAAAAACAACAAACTATTACCTGGTTGTTAACTCAATGTAGTAACTTTATTGTGTGGCTATTGAAAAGGCCCTTAATTTGATTCGTCTAAAATCACATGGTCATCCTAGCACCTTCAATAGGTCTTTCCTTTTCTATGATTGGTTCATGAGACACCATATTTTTAATGTCAGTTTATGTAGGTCCATCTATATTATCTTCATTGATGCTTACATCTCAATATCTACATGGAAAGGATTTATAATCATCTTGCCTCTGAGCAATCTTAGATTGCTATGAATATATACAAGGTTTTTTTGCTCATGGTTGCAAACGATTGAACTTTACTTAATGGATAAAAGAGAATGTGCTCAAATTTCTCTCACCGCAAGAAAGAGTTGATTGTTGTAGTAACCTGCATAGAAATTTGTTTCCACGGGTAAAAGGCATACATAAAATTTACAAATTTGAAGATATGATTATTGAACAACTTTAATTTTTAAAGCTATTTATCGGCAAGCTTTGTAAGCAATGGGTATTGTGATCCATAATTGCTCTGTCAGATCAAGGGTAGGGTCGATATCTTTGTCTTTAAATCTTATGGAATGTTTAATCTTGCAACAAATGACCCACATTCTTTTATTAATTGTTTGCGATCTTAATCTACGAGGAAAAGGTGCTCAACAATTAATGCGACCATATGAAATTCCTTTGTCTTGAGTAATTAAATATTGAGGATATATATTGATTGATAGTTATCAAATATTCAAGATATATATTGACTTTATTGAGTGCCCTATTTTGTGGGATTACAATTGTAATGAGATTTGTTTCCTGCGCATGAGATATTGGTTTACTCTCCGTAGATGTAGGTACCATTGTCGAACCATGTATATGTTGTGTTGATTAATTTCTCTTCTCTATGTCTGTTATTGCAACTTCAACATGGTATTAGAGCTCACTTGAGCTCACTGCCTTGCCTTGGCACCGATTACTTGAGCTCACTGCCTGCGACTCCTGTTGGTGTCTTCGGTTGATTATGATAAAGGCATCTCAATTTCTTTAGTCGCCTTTGTTTTTTTTGCTACTGATTAGGTCAGCTTTTTTTTTCTTATGGTTCTTCTTTTTTCTTTATAATGGCAGATTAAAAAACTAACTTCAGTATGAAACTTACTATTATTCATTTGAATGAATTTAATTAACTTGCTTGGTCGAAAGTTGTTTCTTGTTCTCTTTTGCAGAAATCTAAGCTTGGGTGCATTAATTGGAAGAAAAAGACTCCAAGCAAGGATGATCCCTCATTTAGCAATGTTTGTGTTATTATTCAAAGCAAGGAAACTAGGAAGAAAATCATGAATCTTGGTTTTGAAACATCTGAAGAAAGTATTGAAAAATCTCCCTTGGTTGCTAATAATGAGAAATATGAAACAAAAAGGCTTTAAAATAGTGGTAGAGGTAGTGACCCCGATAGATCTATCGCTCAAAACGTAATCACTCAAACCAATCACTGCAACTGTGATCATAATCGACAACCAAGTAACAACAATGGTTCTTCCTCCACATAAAATCCTTCTTCTCCATTCTTGGGGACAAGTCACCCTCTTGCTTCTATGTCTTCATGTGACATTTTTTCTTGGATAATAGACTCAGGGGCTATAGATCATATGACTGACAATTTACAATATCTATCAAACCTAAAAAATAATAAAAGTGTGAACCCTGCGTCTATTGCCAATGGTTGATTTCTATCCAAGACCAATTTCTTCTCAAAATCCCAAAACTCTGAAGTTCTTTTTATGCCATCATTTCTTCGAACTTGATGTCTGTTAGTAAAATTACTCAGAGCATGAATTACAATGCTATTTTTTCTCTAAACTCTATGATTTTTCAAGATCGGGCCACGGGGAAGAATGGTGAAGGAAGATTGTCTCATGGGCTACATTTATTCAATTAGGATACTAAGGTCTTGGTTGCCAGTCAAGATAATTCTGATATTAACAAATTGTGGCATTGAAGATTTGGACACCCCTCAGATAAAGTTTTAAAATTTTTAATGCCCTCTTTATCTTTAAACTCTCATTCTTGTGAAGTTTGTAAATTACCAAATAGACAAAACTTCCTTTTCAGTCTTCTGTGCATGTTCAAAGGAACCATTTTATTTGATACATTCTAATGTGTGGGGACCAGCCCCAGTTAATTCTTATACCAACTTTAAATATTTTGTTACTTTTATTGATGATTGGTCTTGTGCTACTTGGGTATAATTATTGAAATAAAAAATAGAACTTTTCCATGTGTTCAAATAATTTTCCAAATTGAATTTCACTCAATACAATGGCAAGATTAGAATTCTGTGGACTAATAATGGCACAGAGTATGTGAACAAAGTTTTTTCTGAGCATTTATTGAATCTTGGTATTATACGGAAAACATCATGTGTTGGAACATCTCAACAAAATGGAGTTGCTAAAATGAAAAATAGACACATTTTGGAAACTACAAGGTCTTTGATGTTTCAGATGCATGTTCTAAAAATTTATTGGTTAGAAGTAGTTTTAACTACTTGCTATTTGATTAACAGACTTCCAAGTAAAATTCTTAAAAATAAATCTCCCCTTGAAAGTTTGAAAAATAGAAAAATTGATTTGTTCTATTTGCGAGATTTAGATGTATGTCTTATATTTATGTGGCTAGGCACAACCAAGATAAGCTTGATAAGCATTCCAGTAGATGTATCATTTTCGGATACTTCTCTATTAAAAAAGGATACAAATGTTATAATCCCACAATAAAAAAAATGCATGTTTTCAGAGATGTTCAATTTGTTGAAACATAATTCTATTTTCATGACACATTGGAGAGTGGTTTGGAAAATAAGACTCAGGTGGAATGTTCAAGAGGTCGTTTGCCCTTGCCTAATATTAGTAATAGTGATGTATCCAACACAGCCGAAACAAGTCATGATGATCAAACCGAAGTTGAAGATACCTCTAAAACTCACCATACTGGTTTAGAAGAAAAAGACTCCGCC